ACAGGAAGTCAACTTATAACACAGAAAACGGGAGAAGCAACTGAGGCTTTTTAGACTGTTTCTTATATGTATTTATGTAAGAATGAATGGTCAACTTAGAGGTTGTCTTAGGATAGTAGAAATTAAAGGTGGGACAGAGAAAGGACTATATTTTTTTAGTAAGTGTGTGGTGTCATATAAGCTAAAAAATTATGTACCTTTGAAAAAGGATGAAATTTCATTGTCAAAACAACATCTCCAAAGGCAGCCAGCACGTGGTGCAGCTGGTGTGTGCATTGAACAATCTAATTCCCATGCTCTCAGCCAACACCCAGTCATACGTCATGACGAACACAAACACAATGGCCCTATTTGGGATCTGGTGTGGGTGTAAACTACAGGAAGGAGACATGAACAAACGTCTTATCTGTTAGCAGCTTCCGTGCCAAGCAAGACAGAAGTACACAAAGACAAGGGCTGCAGAGACTGGCGGCTGAGAATGCCACAGTGGAGGCTTCCAGTGAGACTGAGGGCTTGGACAGTTTAAGGAGGTCTCTGTCCTCAAGGAAATACAGGGACCCTGGCCATATGACTCCAAGGATCCAAAACCTCTTCTTGGAAAGTGGAATCTAGAAGGGATCTGGCATTTCTGAGTTTGACTTGATCTTGATGGTGAGAGGGAGTTTTGGATCCTGCTCCTTGAAAATAAAATGAGTTAAATATAATATTATCTGACTCAAGAACTATACCTCCTATTTCCCTACTTTTGTGTGCTAACTGGGATTTGGGACTTGGAAAGGTGGAGGTGACAGACCTTTCTGAAGTATCAAGGGCTTCCTTTATAAAGGTTTCTGTAAAGATAGTTTGTGTGTCACTAACTGTGCCCTTCTGCCATATGCACGTTCTTAGGGTGTGTCAGAGGCTTGTTTCTGTTGTTCTTGCTGTGTAGGGGACACAACCTGCTGCTAGGAGAAAGAACCGGGTTGCGAGGGGGAAGAGACTGAAAGTGACCTGTGGAATGCATTTAAAGGGCCCACCTCTAAACTTTCACACAGTCTTCAAAATGTTTTAAATGCTCAGAAGAAGAAAACAATAGCAAATTCAGGGATAACATTTAAATCACATAATAGTAATCAGAAATCTCATGTCTGATAGCCTAGAAATCTACTCACAGAAAAATAAAGGCCTAAATTTCAATATTTAACTATTATCCTAAAAATAACCACTACTTAGTTTTATAAGTTACTGCATTTTTGTCATTTATAAGGAGTACATAAAGACAGGCAATAACTCCATTTTAACAGGCTAGTATACTGGGACAGATTAAATGACAGAAGAAAAGAAAAAAAATGGTAGCCAACCATTAGACAGTGCAATACTAGATAGGATACATTCACGTTTTAAAAATAAGAAGCATGCCTTAGCATTTGAAGGCACACGGTCCACTGAGTCCATTTTAGTGGGTGTGTTCTTTGTTCTGCTCCACTCTGTGTAGTTACCTATCGATCCAACACATCCCTAGTGGAGGATACTCGGCTTTCTTCTAAGGATCCCTTTTATAAACACTATACCAATTAAAATCCCACACACAGAGTTTTTTGGTTGTCTCTTTTCCAATTACAGATTTAAGTTAAATCAACTTGAAGGTTTCCGACACTAGCGACTCTTTTCAGGTAAGTAGGAGGTAGGACTCTCCATACGATGGTTAAAGGACTGAGACAAATCTGGAAATGCTCAGCCTGTTGGTTCCACTGAGCAATGAGGACTGTCTGTTAGCTAGTGAGCTGTGCTTCGTAGCTCTAACTGAGCAGTTCCTGGCTTACTTGGATCCTGTGTGTAAATACAAAAAAAGGGGTGGGGGGACACTGTAATAACCTCTGAAAGCACATAGGGAAATCTACAGACTGTGGGCTCACTGAGAGGCTGGTCTGGCCCTCTGACACTCAGATAAAGAGTGAGCAAATGTCTTGACCCTGGACTGATCTGTATGCAGTTCTCTTCTTTGATTTATAGTAGCCTTTTTTGAACAATGCAGCAGTAACAACAACAACAGAAGTTAAAAAGACAAGCCTATTTTAAAGACAGGTTCTCTGCTGATACACTCTCAGCAAGGCACACACAACTTCATGTGTCACCAGTTGTTGGTGCTACTGTCACCTGAGCAGAGTCGATATAGCTATAAGAATAAAGAGACACATGTCTAGAATCTACCATCTTAGACAACTTCCAAACCATCTCTCAACTGTCAGGTGTCAAGGAGGGCTTGGCCTGTAAGTGTCAACTTTTTTTTTTAAGGATTTATTTACTTATTTTATTTATATAAGTGCACTGTCGCTGTCTTTAGACACACCAGGAGAGGTCATCAGATTCCATTACAGATGGTTGTGAGCCACCATGCGGTTACTGGGAATTGAACTCAGGACCTCTAGAAAAGCAGCCGGTGCTCGTAACCATTGAGCCATTTCTCCAGCCTGTAAGTGTCAACTTTTAAGTAAGATAGTTTCCCAAAAGATTGTACCAAAGTGTTCTCAAATCAGATAAGGATTCCCTAAGAAAGGCAAATCATGTCATTTCTCATTATGAACACAGATGAAGAAAAAGCTACTGATCATAGTAGTAGCAAATAGAGCTCAAAACCATGTCACCATATCAAGCACAACACGATCAAATACAGTCTCTCTTAAATATAAGGATAATTTAACATTACAAAATCTATTAATATAACTTGCTACATTAACAGATTAGGGAATGAAGTCACATGGTTATTCAAATAGATGAGGAAGTATATTTGATATATAGGATATTTATTTAAAAATTAAAACATGACAAACTGTCTCGATTAAATACTTAGAGGAAATAAAATGTGCAATGGGAAATAGCTTCAACAACCTCCCTTAGAAAGCAAACTAGACAGAAGTAAAAGGTCCTTAATTTTATCTGTTATTAAACACCATTTTGGACTGCCCTACTCAGCCCAGGATATATAAGCAATAGAAAAAGTACAAGGATAGAAGATTAAGAAACAAAACTATTACTTGCAACTACAAAGACTTATCTACATAGAAAATTCAAAAAGATTCACAAAAACAGAAGGCTAGCTACATAACAATCCCAACAGACCCAAATCAGCTATGTTCCTATAGACTAAAAGCAAATAAATGAGTACAAGTAGAATTAATAAAATCAACAGTAACAAAATATATAGCATTTATTATTTATTTTTATGTGCATGAGTATTTTGCCTGCATGCATTTCTGTGCAATATATGTGTGGCAGTGCCCACAGAAACCAGAAGAGGGAGTCACTGGGTCCCCTAGAATGGGAGTTGCGAACTCTGTGGGTGCTAGGAATTGAGCCTGGGGCCTCTAGAAGAGCCAGTGCTCTTAACTACTGAGCATCTTTCTAGCCCCACAAGTTAGCCTGCCCACCTGCCTGCCTGACTCCTTTCCTTTCTCTCTCTCTCTCTCTCTCTCTCTCTCTCTCTCTCTCTCTCCCTCTCTCTCTCTCTCTCTCTTTCTTTTTATGGCTAAATTATAGTGAAATGCATATGGAAAACAAAAAAGACCATAATACCTAAGGGAATTCTGAAGAACTAGGAAAGAACATTCTCTACCAGATACCAACACACAGTTGGTGAAGACGGGATATTAGAGAGGTCAATGAACTACAAGAGAGCCAAGAACAGACCTATGCAATTTGACATCCTAGAAATTAGAACAAGGACAACCACTTCTAACTGTAAAGTGCCTGGCGTAAAGAAAATACATTTGTCACTGGATCAAGTGATTTCTGGTACTGCACCAGTACCGTTAATATAAACTGTAACACTTTATACATCTTCATTTTTCATTTTGTGATCTTATTCTACAGTCAGAACACCTATATGGATAGGAGAGGAAGGTTCTAGCCCGTAGCTTCTGCATGTCTGTTTTTCCAACTTTAGAATGAGGCAATAATTTCCAGGGCTATCTGGCTCTAAGAACTACTTCTATTTTACAAGAAAGAAATTTGAGGCAAAGAGATGTTAACTGACTTGCCTTAGGTCACTGAGAATTGCTAGTAGATCTAGAATTAAAACCTAGGTTTCCTAGATGAATTTGCTTTACAAAGGTACAATAATAATTTCCCTAGACTCCTAGACTATCTAAATTTCTTCTTGGAATTGTCACTAGACACTTAGGAGGTAATTCACTTGGGGATCATTTAGAACATTATTCACATATTCCAATGTCCTGACAAATTCCTCTGCTCATCACCAGGGAGTCAGAAGAGATATATGTCTTTTGGGGAAGTATTGACATGAATGATGGAATAAGAGCAATGCAGGAGAGAATTACCTGAGCAAGCAGACCTGGTTGGATCTGAAGAGGCTGAGCTCCTGGAGCCTGAGTGACGATGGGAACAGCATTTTCCATCCGCACTGAGTAGCCAGCATGCTTGGAGGGAGAGGCCTGCAGGCCTGTTCAGTACATGGGAGAGGGACAGGAGGGAGGTGAATGACAGAAGCGCTGAGACCCTTCCTAGCAGCTCAGCTAGCTTTAATGCTCAGGAAAGAGGTGTTTGCCTTTTAGTTTCTAGCAAGTTAAAAGTAGCCCCCTACTCCCCACAAATATTCCCTCCTCCGAAATAGTTATGTATGTGTGGCCAAAACCAGGACAGTTAAAATGACAAACTATAAGAGAAAAACAATGGTTGCTGCCCATGCAGATAACTGAGTATCACAGCAAAAGATGCTGGGGACATCCTCCCTGGAGGGCTCCCTCTGGATTGCATGGCTGGGATCTGAGCATACATGCTCACATGGGTGCTTTGCAAACTCTGACCTTGAGCTTTCTGTGTAAAGTATGACAAGGTATAGTCGTCTCTAGCTGCCTCAGGTCCACAGGAAAAGAGCTCCGGGTTCATGGCCAAAGGGGAGGCAGCCCTGGAGGCACCATTCAGACAAATTTATATTCTCCACATGAAGTGGGCCTATGCTGGCTGTCAGAGACTGGCAATTTTCTATAGATAACATACAGAGAGCATTTCACGTGAGGAAAGCTGGAGCTGACATCAGCATAACAATGGACTAGACAATGCGCCTCTTTACAGGCAGCTGGCTAGAGCCACAGCTCTGGCAGGTGCTGAGAACAACAACAGATGGACTTGGTCCTAGAGCAAAAGTCGCATGGTTTCTAGGTTGGTGACAATAGGAGACCAGCCTCCAAATTCAGAGATAGCAGCATTCTTAGGAAGGAAAGGAAGCGGGCTTTCTTCCCTGACAGGGAGCACTCCGGGAAGCAGCAGGGGTTAGAACCCTAAAGGTGGTCTTGCAAGAACCAGTTTAGCCTTACCTTGGAAGCCAGGTGGACACACGATGAGAGCTTGCTGGAAGGGGTCAGGTCGGGCACAAATTTGGGCTGTTCCCGTCTGCAGGGGCATGCTCCGCTGGGCTACGGCGGCCATGGATGCCGCTGAGGGCTGGTAGAGTGCAGATTGGTAGTTTAGTATGGAGACTTCGGGATTGGCTAGGGAAAGAGTGGCACTGGTGGAGGTGGGAGCCTGAAGGAATGACGGGGATTAAACAAAAATAAACAAAAATAAAAAATGAGGGAGGTGGTATGTTGGGAGACACAAATCTAAATCAAACAAATGAATTTAAAGGAGAGTAAACAAACCAAGAGCAAAAAAAGCAAAAAGAGGGGCAGGAATCCAGTGGAACCCTTATGTTTGTGGGACACACACACCTCACTACTGAGAAGCTAGCTTAGTCTAGGAAACCATCTGGTTGAGGGGCTGGGATGTAGCTTAGTTAGTAGAGTGTTTGCCGAGCATGCATGATACCCTGGGTTCAATGCCCAGCACTGCATAAAAACAGCAATGGTGGCAAATTCCTGTCATTTCAGCACTCAAGCGGCTGAGGCTGGAGGATCAGAAGTTTAAGGTTATCTTTGGCTAGATACTTAGTTTGAGGCTCACCAGGGTTACAAACAACAACAATAACAACAACAGAACAAAATTATTTAATGAAAGTCTCTTTTCATCCTCACCGGGTAGGTTTGGGCTGAGAGCCTTTGTATTCCTTAGATTCTACAGTGGAAAGTGCTGATGGGGAAAGTGGGAAAAGCTAAGCCCTACCTTCCTTCTCCATGTCTTAGCTTGGCTTCTCCAACTTGAGGGGTTTCAGATGCACTTGTACTGTACTGCCAGCCCACAAACCCTGCTCAGTCTCCCCTCCCCTGGTTGATGTAGCCTATGCTTGGTAGGACAAACCCTGGAGGAGGCTCCTCATGCCTGGGTCCTACGTAAACAGATCTTAGCATGGATGCCTATGCACGAGAAGGGAAGCCCAGGCAGAGTCCTGCCAGGAGCCACTTGCTCAGATCTAAGGACAGTGCTGGGTACAGACACCCTTAGCCTACTGTAGGACCTGCCACTGTAAAAGCAGCAGATGCAAACACCGGGACCTATCTTTTGAAACTGAACTTCCAATGGAAACAACTGTAAAAAGAAAGTGAATTCACTGTAGGAACTCTTTCGCTTCTTTCTTTAGCCTTCTTCATGCTGATCTTATAAGCAAAGAGAGGCAGAAGTTGGCAATGGCTTCAGACTGAAGCTGTCTAGAAGGAGTTGTATCTCTAGAGGTTGTAAGGACTAAGGGTTAAGGAGCAGGTGGGCTCTGAGTAAATGCTCACGTAAGTATTGGCCACATATACTTTAATATTTTGGAGGTGTATTTGTGGGGAGTAGGGGACTACTTTTAACTTGTTAGAAACTAAAAGGAAAGTGTCCCATGTAAAAGGGAAATGTAAATGTAAAGAGAATTTCAAGTGGAGTTAACACCAAATTTCATAAAAATGTCAAACCCTTGTTTTTCTTTTTGTGGTGCTGTGGAAATCAAACAAACCCAGAGCCTTGCATACACGAGGCAAGTCCAGTATTGAGCTGTGTATCTAGTCCTACACTGCTTTTTATTCTTAGATGTTATGCTGGATTTTAGTTAAAGACAATACATTTATTTGAAAATGATTACAAATTCCTATGACACACTTTTTTAGATTTTGAGCTGCATATTTTAACTGTGTATGCACTTTCAACAACCCACACGGTGCCTCCTGGAAGTATGGTGGGGACATGTATGTACATGTAGGAGTCGCTGTCTGTGTACTGACGACAACACCCATCTGCAGTTTTCCCCACACCATTATTTTTCCTGGCAGCTCCCTCACCACATTTTCCATTGTCATCTCAGACACTATGAGTTCAGACCCCAAGGGTCTCCTGCTGGAGGCCATGGCACCAATCTCTTCCCATTTGACTGGGCTTTCCTATCCTCTGATCAGTCACTGTTCCCAAGGCCTCTGCCTCCCAAATATCCCTAGAACCAATGGACTATTTTTAGTTGTTCTCTGGTGTCCAAGACCTATAAGTCCCTGACTAGTGATTCCTCGCTCTCTACTTTTCTTTCAGTTTTTGGGCACAGGATCATATTTTCTCTCTCTCTCTCTCTCTCTCTCTCTCTCTCTCTCTCTCTCTCTCTCTCTCTTTCTCTTTTAATTTTGAAAACTGTGTTTTGCCTGCATGTTTTTCTGTGTACCATGTATGTGCCTAGTGCTCACAGAGGCTAGAAAAAGGCACTGGATTCCTAGGAACTGGAATTACAGGTGGTTATTACTGTGGGGAATTTGGGGCTCGCTTGAGGTTTAATAATAATAAAGACACAGAGACATCTATATAGTTTAAAGCTGTTGGCCTGTTTGTTGAGACAGTCTCTCAGTTAGCCTCTCACTTACACCAACTTCTCTACATTGTGTCTCTCTCCATGTGGCTCTCTGCCCTACCTCCCTTCCTCGCTACTGCTCTTCCTTCTGTCTCCCGTGTCTGTCCTCCCTGGTCAGTCGGCCCAAGCTCTAGGTGCCAGCTCTTTATTCTGCAGAAGGCCATACTCTTTACTCCTCCAGTCTGAGTCAATCAGCAGCAGGACAACACCCAGTCCATTTTCTGGGTTGTCTTTTGGTACTGAGGGCTACATAACCTTCCCCACAGAAGTCTGCCTTTCTTTTTTGGGCAGGTGAGGAAGAAACATACATTTACATATTCTGCTAGACTGTGCTGACCCAGCAACTAACAATTGAGAACCCAGGGACACACTTTTTCATAGCCAGTAAATACAATATTTGTGGGTCATCCCAACAGGTTATGAGCCACAACATGGGTCTAGAATTGAGCTCGGGTCCTTTGGAAGAGCAGCCAGTGCTCTTAACCACTGAGCCATCTCTCCAGCCTTGAATCATACTCTGTTAAAGACCACTTTGCACATTAGCACCCTGCTCTGCACTTAAGCACCTGCTCAGACATTCCAGTAATGGCTTCATGAATGCAGTGTATGCTTCTTGAACCAGTACCTTTTGCTTTCTATAGACTCTTAGATACCTTCCTTAATAAATGAATGTGTCTATTTTTTTTCAAGGCAGATTAGTCAAGTTTTCCTAGCCTCCTTCTATGAATATAGGCTATTCATCTCATAGAAATACTTTAGCCTACAGAGTTATCTCTGAGTCTCTGTGCTTTGGGGCCAGCTTGGCACCAGAGTTCCAAAGCAGAACTTTCCCTGACAGTAGGAACGAGCTATTTGTGTGTGTTCTTGTACAGTAACCTGTGATCGTGTGGCTCAACTCCTGCCGTAGTGTAGTCAGCAACCTGACTAATGCCTCCTTGAAGAAGGACTTGTGCGGGAGGACTTGTGGTCCTCTGCTTGTTTGCCTTTCCTGACCCTTATGTGTCCAGCCTGTATCTGGTTTTAGCTTATGTTCTGTTTTACCAGTGGAGCACCCATCTCCAGAGTGACCAGTAGGCATGCTGACAGTTTCCCTCAGTTTCTGATCCTGCTTAGGGATCAGCTGATGAAAGTATGTATGATGGGGTGGGTGATTTTTACCCTGTCCTCTGTGGTTCTAAGAACTGTCCTGTATAACAAAGAGAAATAATAAGAAGAAATAAGTTCACTGGTAGCTTATGTTGCAAAGACAGGCCCAAGTGGTTCTTGGATGCAGTTGTAACAGATGTTTCAACTGTTGACATCTGAAAGAACAGGATGTAAGCCTGACCTATAAATCCAGTTAAATTTCTTGGTAGAAGGATATGCCCCTAAAAGAAGACACCTTGGAAATGTTAGTAAGGAGGCTGACCATAGGGCTCCCTACTCAATGTTATTAATAGTTTTTGAATGTACACAGAAATTATGGTGTATTGGCCCAGCTTCCTGAGACATAAACAATTACAGATCAGTGAGTACTTGGAAAAGTGCTAGTCTACTGGATATATGTTAAGAGCAACAAAGAACTAATTCTGTGTCCTTCCACTAACATAGAACTGTAGGTATATTTTGTTGCTTCTAAACATCCAATGTTTAGAATGAACAGAAAAACTCCAAGGTACTCATGGAGGGAACACAGCACTGGGTCACTAATGTAACAAAGCAAGTTTTGTGGGATTTAGAGAGCAGATGCTGTCTAGGAGGTACCTCCTGTGGATCTCCATAGGATTCACCAGCGAATCAGTGTGTGTGCTTCAAGAGTGTAGACTCTGATGTCAGGCTTCTGGAGTCCAAGCCCAAACTATCTCATATGTACTAACATAGTCTTTGTTAAGAGGATTAACTGCTTTGTACCTCGATTTCTTCCTTTAAAATGCCAGTGATAATACTGATTCCACATGGACGCCTGGAGGACTGAATGATGCCATGCTGAGAAAAATCTGACACAGAAATGCTTACTGCCAGAACTGTGGTCAATTTGTAACAGTATCCAAGGAGGGAAAGCACCCCTTAGTGCTTAAGTCCAGGTTAATTTGCTTTTCTGATATATTTAACCAGGACCCAACAATTCCAAGTTCAGATGATGGAGAGTTTGCTCTCAGGATCTTGGTTTTGTAGGACAGCACTTCATCTTCTCAGTGCTTAGGCCTATGTCATGCTAAGTTAACAGCTAACCTAGCCAACATTGCAAGTCTCGGTGTCATGGAAAAGGGAGTGTTCTCATTTGGGACCTGCCCTTGTGATTTTCAGGTTTGGTAATATTTTTTGGGATGGATGTGCTGGCTATCATATCACAGGAAACACAGAGGTGGGCTGTTCTGGTGTGGACAGCGGCCCTATAGACCTCCAGTCTGAAGGCTATGACGATATCTACAGAAAGGCTGGTGGGGTAGGGGGAGTCACCTAACCTGACACATGATCTGAGGAGTGCCCTTCCCTGTGTGCTGTCTTACATAGTTTGGTATTGGAAAGGACAGCTAGATGGCAGATGGGGACAAAGAATTTGAGGTTAGAGAGTTAGGATTAAGAGTCTCCTAAGGACTTATGGAAAAACAAGCCTCAAGGTAATGAAGAAAGCATCAGAGGCTGCTTTGAGAAGCTCTAGATACGAAGGCCTTGCCCTGAGGGCTAGCTGAAGGGCTGGGGAGAAAGGTCTTCTTGACCTTAAGCACTAAGGGTACAGAGTGGTGAGCTTTCCACTGTACAGATAGTGTCAGGAGCATTGATGGCCTCCAGGGGGCAGCAGATTCCAGATGGCACTCAGTCCAAGGAGAGAGAGAGAGAGAGAGAGAGAGAGAGAGAGAGAGAGAGAGGAGAGAGTGAGAGCAAGAGAGAGAGAGAGAGAGAGAGAGAGAGAGAGAGAGAGGAGAGAGCAAGAGAGAGAGAGAGAGGAGAGAGAGGAGAGAGAGAGAGACAGAAAGAAGAAGGAGGAGGAGGAGGAGGAGGAGAAGGAGAAGAAGAGGAGGAGAGGGAGGGAGGAAGGGGAGGGGGGAAGGGAGAAAGGGAGGGAAGGAGGGAGAGGGAGAGAGAGAGAGAGAGAGAGAGAGAGAGGGAGGGAGGGAGGGAGGGAGGGAGGAAGGGAGGGAACGCACACAACTGGAATTCAAGTTAAGAGGGAACAGCCCAGTAAAGCCCGGTGAGTAGGCGCAGTGCTGAAAGGCAGGGGCAGTGACTCCCAGGTGGACAGCCAGGTGACAGCATTCACATAGTAGGTTTTCATATTTGTTTCTCTGCTCTGAAGGTGTATGTGCTTACGCAGAGGTATGAATAACACAAAGGATACTGATGTCATTACAGATTGGTATTAGGACTGAAAAGTCTGGAAATGCTTCTCTGGGGGGACTCATAAGACTGGAAGACGGGAGAAACAGTTCAAGCCTCTCAGAGTCCAGAGGTGGGTAGATTAGGGTGTGGAGATTCTTCGTTCAGGACCTATTTTCAGAGTGTCATTTGTATGTCAAACATAGTTCTATGCTGCCGAGCCTGCCAATCGGCAGAAGGTTGGAAATCCATGTGAAGGAAACCTCAGTTTCCTGTATCCCTCTGGAAAAGCTGCTAGGATTCTGGTAACAGACCCATGAGCTGGCTTTTCTATGGCTTAGAGAATGAACTGGCTTTTCCTCTCCTGAATACAGATCACATGGACACAGGGTGCAGGGAGGGACTCCTGCTTGCTCTGGTTAGACAAATTTTTAGCAGGCTCTTTTTCCCACATCTGCTCAGAGGAAAATGGGAAGAGGTACCATCTCAGGAAGTAGTCCCAGTAGTCAAAACAGAGACCGGCCCCCTTGGCTTCTTAAAAAAATGGCCGAGGAAGCAGGCACTTTAGCTTAAAGACCCAAAAGGACAACACAGGGAAAACGGTTTGGTGGGGGATATCTGAGTCCTGGCAGTCAGACCTGCCCGCCTCTTCCTGGGGCCTGCCACTCACCTGGTTGTGGACAGTGGTCAGCTGGTTGTTGAAGGTCATGGTCAAGTTGGTAGATGTGCTGGGGGCCACATGTGTGATGAAAGGGGTTTTGCTCTGGTTCACTGTGTCGTACATATTCACCCGGCGCTTGCAAATCTCCATGTTTTGGAAACAAGACTTGACACTATACATGCAAAAGGTGGAGGCAGAGACACACGGATAAGAAAGGGGGTGAAGTGGGGTGAGGTGGAGGAAGGAGAGAAAAGAGAGAACGGTTAATTCAGTAAACAAAACTATCACTGAATATCTACATTAGCTTCAAATATCCGGGGGCTTTCCCCAAGTGTGCTGCTGAACTGTCAGCACTGTTCGAGCAAATTCCCATTGTCTTGTCCTTTCTCCTGCCCTGGATGGACAGACTCCCATATCACAGACGTGCTTCACTGCATCTTCCTCCCATTACCATTCACTTCTAATCCCACTGGTCATTCTCAGTGCAGTGCTTGACCAACAAGATAAACTCTCCAAACAAGGGCGTAAGGGGCTGCTGCGACCTACTTCTGCCTTCCTTGGGGCCACTTGTCCGCCCGTCCCCATTCTAGCAACCCATGGGCCACTAGCACCATCTAGAGGTCAGCCAGTAATTTTCCCATCCAGGGTCATGAACTTGGCTGCTATGTCTCACTGGAACCTGTCACACAATAAGAACAATGATAACTGTTACTAATTTTTACTGAGAGCAGTGGTATGTGTTTGCAATCTCCTATTCAGTCTTAAACCATCCACAAGACAGGATTAGGATCATTGTTCCAATTTTACAAGTAAAGTAAAAGGTTTAGGACAGATAATGTGCCAGACAGATAATCACTAATTGGCAATTCACCTCCCCTCTCTCCTACACATTCCTAACTTCCTTAATCCTTACTTTTGTCCTAATTCTTGTCTAGTTCCATGAAGTAGAATTCTCTCCCCATTTCCCTCCTCTACTGTCTTGCTGAATCAAAACTAACCCCTAATTACAAAGGCCTTAAAGGAGTGCAGTCCAAGCACGAAGGCCCAGCCACCGTGCTCCACTCAGTTCACATGCTGCTCCCCATCACTTCTGCCTCTTCTGCCTCTACGTTCACTTTTGCTCAAGGGCTAATATTCAGGATAAAGCCTCATCTAATCTACAACTTAAAAGGTCTGTTGCAATAACCGGATATAAACAACGTAACAGTTTTCTACGACTTTTAAAGTAGTAGAAATTGCTGAATACTACAGGTATGCTCTATTTTGGACTAAGTGAATGTTTGAAGGCTATCCCAGAATATTATTTTCATGAAAGATGCATTTTAAATTTCAGAAACTGAATACAGTCATGACCTAGAGAATCCTGCTTGTTTTTAAGTTAATGACTATTTACACTGCCACTCGATACACTAACCATAGTAAATAAGCTGACAGTCCTAGAGAGAAGAGACAACATATTCACTGGTGAACAACAGCATGCCTGAAGGTTCTGCTGAGTACCAAGTATACAGCTGCATGCTTTCACATTGAGCTGAAGATGATAAAATGATGCTGGTTGCATTCCTTTTGGAACGCATTTAAAGCATTCAATGATTTTAATAATGGCTCAATGTACAGTTTTCTGGCTTCAGAGTTTTCTTCGTATAATGAGATAAAACTTGACTGTCAGGCTAAGACAAACACTTTTACTTTGGGTTGGCTTATAAAACAACTGGCTTTTACAAATATGTACACTAAAGTCTTGGTGTAAAGAAATGAGTGGTCTTGCTTTCACCTGCAAAACCTTGTTGGAGCAGCTTAGGCCCAGGCCCAAGGGTGGGGTCCACAGCAGGTTGGGTAGGCCTGAAGGTTTGTTCCCGCTCTAGAGTTTTTCATGATCTTCTGGGAACCCACAAAGATTCAGCTTACTCTCAGGCAGGCCTAGGGGTAGCCTGCCTTTCCTTAGGGGTGACCTTCTAAGTTCTAAGTTGCCACTGCTCCTCAGTGAGGCACTCTATGGATGCTTCCTTACAGGGCAGATGGCCAATAGGAGCTCTCTGAAGCATCTGCTTCCCTGATCCTACCCTATTGTTTATCATTTTTCTTTATTCCTAAAGTTAGAAAGGCTGGCTTTGTGGGGATTTGCCTTTCTTCTTGTGGGACAGACTGATACCTTCTTAACTGCCTTCTGCTGAGAAACTGCATAGGTGTTATAATTTGAGTTTGGAAGGGCTGGGTACAGAGACCCTCTTTGCACTGGAACTTGATTGTTTCAAATATGCCCTGAATTAAAGACATACTGTTTGGTCTTGCCATGCAAGTTGACTTACTTCACTAACTGCTATGGAAAAGAACTGACTTAAAAGACACACTTTATGGTGGTTGTAGCCCACTTGTTAGGTTGGGAGAGGTGGAGTCCAGCCTGGAAACTCAGTCAAATCTAATTTTGGTCATAAAAATCGCTGACTGTGGCCTATAAATACCAACAGTCCTTATTCCAGGTCCTAAAAGAACATGTTGCTTTCCTGAGCATGCTACTCTCCTTGAGAAAATGCAAGGATGTGAATATATTCTTCAGTAGCCACACTGGCAACCTGTCAAAACCTACATTGCCTATTCACTAAATGTTAGAAAAAAAATTGAATCGACAATCTGAGTCAAAATCTTAAATGGTCTAAAAAAAGTCTAAAGCAAAGAAAGAAATGTAAAGGATTATGATAAGTAAGTCATATGTTTGAAAATAGACCAAAGAAGTGCAATAAATCAATAGAACATAATTAGAGGCTCGTGTCTATAATCTCGGTATTGGGCAGGCTGAGGCAGGAGGATCATCATGAGTTCCAGGCCAACCACCTTTGGTTATAGTGTGAGAACTTGTTTCAGTAAAAGAAACAGCCCAAATCAACAGTGCACAAACAAACAAAATGAGAGAGAAGGAACTGCAAGAGGGTGGGTGAGAGCTAGAGTAAGGGAACAAGTTGAGAGCCAGTGAGATGGCTCAGCTGCCATGGCTGATAAACCGGGTTTCATCCTCTGGACTCACTTACAGGAAGGAGAGAACTGGCAACCCCAACTTGTCTTCTGACCTCTTTGTGTGCACGGTGGCACTTGTGCCTGCATACATACATTCTTCAGAATAAATAAATTAAGATGTAATTTAAAAAAAAAAAACCTATATTGCCTATCTCAGGACCTGGTTCTCACCCTCACCATTCCTTCCAGGGGCTGTCAGACTTGGAACTATTTCTTAAGTCACGTTCAAGCATCCTGCTTCCCTGGCCGCATTCTCCACCCTTCTGGTACATTTGACTATACTATCATAGCTATCTCTAGAGTTGGGCAAAGGACACTCATTGGCATCTGTTGAGTTTCCTTCCCTCCGGTGAACCTTCAATAGCTTCCATTTGGGATAAAAATTACTATCACCACCAGCATCATCAACTTCCTCATCCATTTGTCGTTTTCTCTTAGCAACTTGGCAGCAGTTCAACCTGGACAAACTCAACTGTTTTCTCTATGCTTTCACTTACACCATCAATGTGCGTTCAGACTCAAATGTTCAAAGCTCTTCCCGCTTCCTTCCCTCTCCCTAAGCCTTCCAAGTGTTGGACTAGAAATGTATTCCCCATACCCAGCTTTCTCCTATATTTCTCTGGTTAGTTTGCTATCATGCTCTGCTCCAGTTACCAGGACCAGTGCATATACATACACTCTCTCTCTCTCCCTCTGCCTCTTTCTCTCCCCTCCTTCCCATATCTCTTTTCTTATTTCTCTTTGTTTCTTTCTTTTCATTCTTTTTTTGCATATGTATGTGTGTGGGAGCATATGCTTGTTTGTGGATGTGTGGCTGTGCATATAAAGGTCAAAGGTTGACATATTTTTTTTAACTCTTAAAAAGATGTGTTTGTGCCTGCATGAATTTATGTGCACCATATGTGTGCAGGTATCTGAGAAGGCATTGGATCCTCTGGAGCTGGAGTTGCAGACAGTTGTGAGCAGCTTGATGTGGATCTGGGCACTGAACCCAGGTCCTCTGCGAGAGTAGTAAGTGCTCTTGATTGTTGAGCCATCTCTCTAGCCCCCAAGTCTTTCCTTCCTTTAACTTAAAATTTTTTATTTATTATGTGTATGTGTATTTTGCTATGTGTTTGTCTGTGTACTGCATATTTGCCTGGTGTCCAGACAGGCCAGAAGAGGGCACTGGATCCCCTAAGACAAAAGTTATGGACAGTTGTGAGCTACCATGTTGGGGTGTAGAGACTAGAACCCAGGTCTTCTGGAAAAGCAGAGCTACCATGGAGCCATCTCTGCAGCTTCCCTGAGTGCCTTTCCTGATTACCCTTCAAGCAGTCTAGCTAGCCTGCTTGCCACTGGGATCCTCTATCTTCACCTCTTGAGCTCTGGGATTTTAGGCAGACCACCTGACATTTACAGGATGCTAGAGGTTTCAACAGCAGTCCTCACATCTGTGTGATATCACTGAGCCATCTCTCCAGCCACAGTTATCATGTTCTACAATTGTAAAGCCATCTTGTTCTCAACAGATGACGTCATCATCTACTTCTGAGACAGAAGCTGTCTGACAAGAACTCCCTCAACTTTCCTCTGCTGTCCCTGTGTACCCGCTGACACCCACATCTCCCCCATTATGTCATCTTTTAGTGACAGGGCCTATCTCTCCACTCAGCTCTAAACACTACCTCAACAGAAACCACTCACAAGTAACTATCTTTATCCTTGAACCTCTCATTTGCTACCAGATTCTTCCTTTAGTATTTGCTTAAATTTCTTCACTCTTCAAAATTTTCCTTTAGTCTAATGGTTCTCAACCTTCCTAATGCTACGGCCCTTTAATACAGTTCCTTATGTTGTAGTGACTCCAACCATAAAATTATTTTCATTGCTACTTCACAACTGTAATTTTGCTATTGTTATGAATCATGTTGCAAATATCTGATATGCAAGATGGTCTTTGGTAACCCCTGGGAAAGGGTCATTTGAGCCCCAAAAGGGTCGCCAGTCAGGCTGGGAATGGCTGCTCTGACCTCAACACTTCCCTCCCTTTCCCCAGTGTCACTTGTAAGGCTGCCGTCTATTTCTCTGCTCTCACTTTATCTTTCAACCTGCCCAACAAGTTTCTGCTTGGAAATGGCTGCCTCAACTGAGTAACCAAATTACAAGACCTCCAACACTTTTTTCTAGATTACTGATATGACAGCAGGTGAGATGTGTAGTCAACACAAGTCCAAACAGTCATTCACCTGCTTCTAAGTCCTTCAACTCGCTGCATTGTACTTTTGCTAAAAGACAAAAATCCTTCCTGAGCATGGCTTGCTCTAGCTTACGTCTGTGGCCTCAGCATGTCACCTTGTCCCTAGGTCTGCTGTTTAGTCATGCTGGAGAGTTTCCACAGGCAATGCCTGACTTCTCATACCCACCTTTCCCTAAGCCTTCAGAGATTGCATTCTTGAGTCTTTTGGCCTGCTGAGCAAGCTCCTTGTTATATGGACTCATCAAACCACATTCCTTTCTTGGTGACAGCCGTTGTCTTCTGTCTTCCTCCCTGAAGAGCACAGCTAAGCTAGCAAGTGCAGTCTACCTTGTTCCTCATTGCACCCCAGGGCATGGAGCAGCCCACAGCAAGCCGAGGAAATGAGGCAGCCCAGACAGTTCACTCTGGGGCAGTTTTGGGACCAACCTTTGGCACTGATGCTAGACACCTTTAGAGCACTGCTGTTCTGCCTACTTCCTTTGTGCGTTGATATCCAAGTTCATCTGGCCCCAAGGTCCCCCATGTCCCATCACTCCCTTCTTTTCAGTACAAATTGTAGTCTTAGGCCCAATCTAGCCCTCACAAGTTTTTTAAGTGCTTTGTTGGAATGGAGATCCTGATTTTGCTTATGTGCTGTATCTACAGCTGCTTTCTGTTATAACTGAGAGCTGAGAAGCAGCACAGAAACCAGAGGGCTATAAAGCCTCATGTATTTGCTACCCAGACTTTAAGTGTCGTCCTCCGTACAAAGCCTAAGTAGGACACTTACTGAGTACTATGGGGAAAATCGAGCAGGTGTGTCATGGTGACAAAGGGGTGGTTCAGAGTTTCAATGGGAGTGATCCTCTTATCAGCATCTATGGTCAGCATCTTCTTTAACAGGTCAATGAACTCCCGTCGGTCTGCCTTCTCTACTAACATGTCACTCCCTTCCAAATCTGTTGTCATGTTCACCTGGAAGCAAGGAGGACAGGTGAGTAACAGCCATAGTACATCCTGTAACCTCTTCTGATCTTAAGCCTCCCATCCCAGGTGCCAGAGGGCAGACGGCCCCCATGGTCCTGTGTGCTGCTACTGTCCATGGGTGATGGCTTCTTACACTGTAGGAACAGAATGGCTGTGGCGTCAGGCACCAGGTAGGGTTGGGGCAGAAAGCGGCCAGCATGGTTGGCACCTGCAGATACACCCCAGTGACAAGGCACAAAGCTGCTCCTGTTTAAATGGCCAAGGTGAAATGCAGCTTTCATTACACCTTATTAAAAATAAGCACAGGATGAAGGGTTCTGGAGGCCGATTGCATAACAGTGTGAATGCAGTTAATTCTCCTCAACTTTAAGTTTAAAAAAAAAGCTAAGATGAGACACTTTATGCCATATGTGTTTTACCACAAGCCAACAACAACAAAGAAACACAGAGAGAGAGAGAAAGAGAGAGAGAGAGAGAGAGAGAGAGAGA